GACAGAGTGAGACTCCAACTCCAAAAAAAAAAAAAAAATTGAATTGCCATATGACCCAGCAATTCAATTCCTAGATATATACCCCAAAGAATTGGTAACAAGTGTTCAAACAAATACATGTACATCAACAAAAGTTGGAAACAACCTACATGCCTATCAGTGGATGGATGGATTTTAAAATGTGGTCTGGCCAGATGCAGTGGCTCATGTGTGTAATCCCATGTTTTGGGAGGTGGAGGCAAGAGGATTGCCTGAACCCAGGAGTTTGAGACCAGCTTGGGCAACATGGTGAAACCTCCTCTCTACAATTAAAAAAAAAAAACCTGCCGGGCTCAGTGGCTCAGCCTGTAATCCCGCGCCTTGGGAGGCTGAGGTGAGTGGATTGCCTGAGCCCATGGGTTCGAGACCCACCTGGGCAACTTGGGGAGACCTCATATCTACAATAAATCAAAAAGTCAGCCGGGTGTGGTAGTGCATGCCTGTAATTCCGGTTACTCGGAAGGCTGAGGTGGAAGGAACGCCAGAGCCCAGCAGGTCGAGGCTGCGGTGGCCGGGAGCGGCCACTACACTCCAGTCTGGATGACAGAGTGAGACTCCAACTCAAAAAAAAAAAAAAAAAAAAGCCAAGTGTGGTGGTTTGTGCCTGTAATTCCAGCTACTTGGAAGGCTGAGGCAGAAGGACGGCCTGAGTTCAGTAGGTTGAGGCTGCAGTAGCTGTGATTGTGCCACTGCACCCTAGCCTGGGCAACAGAGTGAGACTCTGACTCAAAAAAAAAAAATGTGGTCAGACCCGTCGGGGTGGGTATGTGCAATCTGGTGCCACCTGAAAGATGCAAAGAATTTGCATAGCAGTTAGATTAGAAAATAGTTTATGGCTGGGAATGGTGGCTCAGCCTGCAATCCCAGCACTTTGGGAGGCTGAGGTGAGAGGATTGCCTGAGCCCAGGGGTTCGAGACCAGCCTGGGTAAGTTGGTGAAACCTCGTGTCTACAATAAATCAAAAAATACGCCGGGCATGGTAGCGCATGCCTGTAGTTCCAGCTACTCGGAAGGCTAAGGTAGAAAGATCACCAGAGCCCAGCAGGTTGAGGCTGCGGTGGTTGTGAGCGTGCCACTGCACTCCAGCCTGAGTTACAGAGTAAGACACCAACTCAAAGAAAAAAAAAGAAAGAAAATATAGTTTATTTAGAAAGTAAATTAGAGAGATGCTGCTGCCATGTGGATGAGGTCAGTGTCATGAAGGTCATGAAGAACTGGTTAGATTAACATGTTTACAAAATAAGCTGGGGAGGGGATTGTAAAGCAATTATCTTATTTATTTTATTTTTGAGTGAGAATCTCACTGTTGCCCAGGCTGGAGTGCTGTGACATGCTCACGGCCACCGCAGCCTCGATCTGCTGGTGGGCTCAGGCGATCCTTCCGCCTCAGCCTTCCAAGTAGCTGGAACTACAGACACGTACCCCCATGCCCAGCTAATTTTTTGATTTATTGTAGAGACGAGGTCTCACTAAGTTGCCCAGGCTGGTCTCGAACCCTGGGCTCAGGGAATCCCCTTGCCTTAGCCTCCCAAAGTACTGGGATTACAGGAATGAGCCACTGTGCCTGACTATAAAGCAATTATCAATAGCTATCTCTGAGAAGCCGGTTCTGACCTTGGCTAGTGACTAGAAGGTAAAGTGAACTGCTAGAGAAACATGACAACTAGACAGTGTTAAAATGGCTGATCACTGAATATATTGACTCCATGTTATATCCTTTCAATATTATTTAGCCACAAAAAGGAACTAACTTCTTTATTTTATTTATTTATTTATTTATTTTTGAGTCAGAGTCTCACTCTGTCACCCAGACTGGAGTGCAGTGGCCACTCCTGGCCACCGCAGCCTTGCCTGCTGGGCGCCAGTGATCCTTCTGCCTCAGCCTTCCAAGTAGCTGGAACTACAGGTGCGCGCTATCACACCTGGCTAATTTTTTGATTTATTGTAGAGATGAAGTCTCGCTGCCCAGGCGGGTCTCAAACCTGTGGGCTCAGGCAATCCACTCACCTCAGCCTCCCAAAGGCGCGGGATTACAGGCTGAGCCACCAAGCCCAGCTTGGAACTAACTTCTAATACGTGTTACAATGTGGATGAACCACTTCCATTTATATGAAATGTCCAGAATAGACAAATTCATAGAGACAGCAAATTAGTGGTTGCCAGGAGCTGGGAGTAAGAATGGGGGGTGATTGCTAATGGGTACAGGGTCTCCTTTTGGGGTGACAGAAATGTTCTAGAAATAGACAGATGTGGTAGTTACACAACATTGTGAATGTACTAAATGCCACTGAATTGTACACCTTAAAATGACTAATTACAAGCCAGGTGTGAAGGTTTATACCTGTAATCCCAGCACTTTGGGAAGCTGAGGCAAGAGGACTCCCTGAGTCCAGGGGTTTGAGACCAGCCTGGGCAACTTGGCGAGACCTCATCTCTATGATGAATTGTTTTTTTTTTTTGGGTTGGAGTCTCACTCTGTCACCTAGACTGGAGTGCCATGGCCGCTCCCGGCCACCACAGCCTCGACCTGCTGGGCTCCGGCGATCCTTCTGCCTCAGCCTTC